GGGGGGGGGGGAGGCGCGGCGTTGGGGAGGGTTCGCGCGTGCAGGGGATAAATGAGACAGGGCAAAGCGCGCAGCCGCCAGCAGACCCCAACCCCGCGGCGCTGGGCAAACCGAGAGCGGCAGGACCCCAGGCCCGCCCGGCCCCGCAGGATGACAAAGCCCATTCGACCCCGTCCGTGCGCCAGCCGCACCCCTGCCCCCCGGGCCCTTGCCGGGTGCGACGGCCCCGGCGCGGGCCCCGCGCGCCCAGGCACCTTGTGCATGCTCTCTGTGAACATCATCACGACGGCCAGCAGCTCCCTGTCGCGCCCCAGCCCAATCTTGAAGCGCGCCAGGGCCGCCTGCCGCGCCGCCAGGAATGACACCCAGTGCTCCACGGGCGCAGGCTGGCGGTCGGGGCGAGGGCGGACGCGAGGCACGCAGAGTCGTTTGGTGGCTCGCGCTGACGTGGCGGCCCATGCCCGCTTCAACACGCAGCGTGTGTCGCAGACACGTGGGCTGGCCGGTGCACGCACTCCAAGAACATGAGGCATGGGTTGCGCGCCGCACTGGAAGCTCACCGAGTGCTCTCCAGTGTCCATGCGGCACTCTGCCACGTTCCACCAGGCCGGCCCGAGCGCCTGCGCCATCGCGCGCATCGTGCTCATGTGCGTCTTGGCCACCGCGGCGATCACGTGGAACGCCTCGCCCTCGGGCCCCTCGCCCTGCCCGGCAGCGGTGGCGGCGGCGGCGGCGGCGCCGTCGGGCGCGGCGAGCGGCAGCAGCACGCCCGCGGCCGCGACAAAGGCGGTGTGGACGTGGCGCAGGCGCTCGGCCGCGCCGGACGCGCCCTCCCTCGCCAGCTGGTCTGGGCCGGGCAGCGCGCTGATGAGCGACGCGTAGCGCTCCACCGCGGCCCCCGCGGCCGCGTGGCGCGCGGAGACGGCCCCGAGCGCCGCCCGCAGCTGCGCGGCGGCCTCGACGAACGGCGGCGAGGGCGGCGCGGCCCGCTCCAGCCCGGGCGCCGCGCCGAAACCGCCGCCGCCGCCGAGACCCCCGCTGCCCAAGGGTCCAGCCGCGTCCTCGAACCCCGCGCCGCCGGGCGTGGCGCCACGGCCCAGCGCGGTCTGGAGGTTGATCTCGCGGTCAGCCACCAGGGCGGACAGGCTGGTCATCTTGGCGCGTAGGGCCAGGTTTTGATAGGCCAGGTAAGTCAGCTGCTGTTGGCGGTCGGCCAGCTGCTGCTGCAGCTCGTCCATCTAGGAAAGGAGGGGGCGTGGGCACGGGTTGCGCGGATTTGCACCTCGCAAGCTGGTGCGATCGTGTGTGGATGCATGCGTGTATGTGTGTGTGCACACGCACGTGCAAGGTCCCACTCACCGCTGAAAGGAACCGACTGATCAAGGGCGGGATGCTAAGCTGCCATCACAGCTCATTCGCGGCTGCCCCCGCATGCACGCCCCCTAGGTACCCACCATGCCCTTGCGGCGGGCCTGGTAACGCTTGTTGGACTCGGCCAGGGACCGCCTGCGCCGCGCCAGGCGCTCCTCTGGCGTCAGCCCCTGCGCGCGCGGCGGGCGCTGCTGCTGCTGCTGCTGCTGCAGCTGCTCGCCCGCCGTGCTGGGCGCGGGCTGCGGCTGGGCGCCGCGCCCCTCCCCCAGCCCGTCGCCGTGCTGAGTGCCCAGCCAGTGCTGTTTCTGGTCTTTCATCCAGTGGATCTGCTCAATGGTGTCTATCCCGTCCATCGTCCCCTTTGGCGGCGACCCGCCGGCCGATTCCATGACCTCATCGCCGCCGTCGTTGAGGCCGCCACGGCGCCTGCGCTCCGCGCGTGGCGACCAGGCCTCGCCGCCTGTCAGGTCGGGGCTGAGGATTTGATGCAGCTGCAGCATGGAGCGCTGCGCGCGCTCCACCAGCTGCGCGTGCGACCCGTCGCCGCCGGCTGCGGAGGGCGGATTGCCTCTGGGCGTGGGCTGGGAGGTGGGGCAGGCCTCCAAGGTGCAGGCAGGGGCCTGGCGGTAGTCGTGGGCTTGGGGCGCACCATTGGCACTGCCGCCGTTGTGAGGCCCGGCCAGGGCTCCACCTGCGGCGCCGTCGAAGCTCGCCTGGGCCCAAAACAGGAACGTGCTTTCATCAACGTCTGCTGCCCACTCTTCAAGTTGCTGCAGGATCGCGTCGACGCTGCTCTGGGCGCCATCAGATTGCAAATGCCCGCGGTCCGCCATGTAAGGCACCTCTAAGTGTTTACATGCCACCTACGAGCTATAGGCGACGTAACAGTCATGTACATCGCATGAAGTTATGAACGAAATAAGACACACCTGTACATGTGCGTCGTTGCACGCCACTGCGTCGTCGACTCTGCAGGGTGACCCCGCCGTAGTGCGGCAGCATACCGGCGCCAAAACCAGGGGACGTTGCCTGCTCCTTGACTAGATCAACTGAACGTTGTAGGGAACTTACAGGATTGCAATTCAGGCTAAGTTTGATCCCTCACAAGAGCAGATAGTTGCCTGCATCGAGCAGCCGGGGGTCGTCAACCCCGGGCGTGGGTGATCGACCGCAGCGGTGTGAACTCGTCCGTGACCTCACTGACCCAGCTGGACCCACCAGGCGAGTCACACCACACCAACACCATCATCATCCAGCATCACCATGAGCAACCCCTGCAGCCCCCCCTCACGAGGTAACAGGCACCCAGCTGTCATCATCACACACGCGTGCAGCCATAGGGGCGTGCACGCGCCCGCAGGCGCACCAAGCCCTCCTGGGCCGCCTGCGCGCGCCGGCCCCGCCTCAAACGCCCTCGCTCTGCGTCTGCGTCCGCGACTCCGGCGCCGGCAGCCCCGCGCGCTTCCATATCGCCGGGTTGCTGTTCTTCGGGCGGCTGGTCGCCGGCTTGCCCTTCTTCGGCTGCCACCGCTGGTACCGGCTGGCCATGCCGACGCGCGCCATGAAGTGGGGCGGGCCCACCAGCAGCAGCGCGGAGAGGAGCTCGGGCAGCGCCTGCAGCGGGAAAAGGAGCTTGTCCTCCCACCAGAAGGCGCCCGCGCGCAGCGACACGGCCCTTAGCGCCGCCGCCATCGCCAGCAGAGCGCTGCAGAGCAGCACCACGCCGACCAGCGGGTCGGGGCCGCGCGGCGGCGCCGCGGGCGCCGGCGCCGGCGACGACGCCGCCGCGCCCGCAGCGGCGGCACGCGCGCGACGCGCGCCGCGGCAGCAGCAGCAGCACGCGCAGCAGCAGCAGCACAGCCGGCGCCAGAAGCCGGGGGCGGCGCGGGGGCCCTTGCTTCCCTCAACATCCTCAGGGCTGTCGCCCGCGTCCGCGCCCTCCTCAATGACAGTCGCAATGATTGAGATGGGCTCTCCAAGGTCCATCGCCTCTGCGCAGCCGCGCTCGGGGTCGTGCCGCTCAATCTCAGTCTTGCCCTCGCCCGCGCCGCCCCCGCTGCCCCCCGGGCTGCCGGCTGCCGCGGCAGGGGCGAGGTTGCCCCCGCCGCCGCTGCTTTTGGGCGTGCGGGGCTTCGGCGTGGGGCTGGGGGCAGCGAAGCGGACGAGGCTTCCAAAGAATGCGACCGCTGCCTGCAGGGTGATAACTGCCGCGACCGCCAGCAGGCCCTGCACCACGAGGTATGCAAGGCAAATGGGTGAGGCGTCGTCAGTGGCTCACCGCGGACGTCCCAAACACGAAAACGTGGCGGCGGCGGTGCACCGTCGCAGTGGCCGAGGCGCCGCTTGCAGGAGGCAGAGCTTGGGGATTGCCGAGCATCCACTGACATCATCGCATCGTCGCCCACACAAACGAGCCCGCTCTCGCAGCCCGCCAACACCAAAGTATACGCGCCCGACGCCCTGCGCCTGCCGCAGCCCGTAGCGAGGCCTCACCCAGGCAGACGCCGCCTTGACGTTGGCTGCCACCACGACCGAGTCGGCGGTGCGGCCGCCGTGCGCCAGGCCCGCGGCGGCGACGCCCATCACCGGGCCAAAGACGGCGCCGGCTATCAGCATGGCTTGAGAGGCCCGGACCCAGGATTTGAAGTTTGCAGGCTTGCTGGTGGCTTTTGCATTGCGGTACCTTTGGGATTGGGGCAGGCGAAGGCGCGGTGGCGGGGGTTGGCGAGGAGCCAGCCAGGTCAGCGACCAGGTGCGCGACGCACCTGCGGTGCGCTGTGGCGGCAGGCGCTGCACATCGTGCCGCTCATGCAAATAGCGTAAACGTGACATGCAGTCCTCGTTGACAGACACAAACTGTGGGGAACGGCGTTCACCCCTTGCAGCGCGCAGCGCTCACCAGGAGCTCAGCACCGCTGAGCTGTTGCATAGGGCCATGCCTAGGCCGGCGGCGGTGAGCGCCCACCAGGCCGTGACCATGGCCTGGTCGCTATTCACGGGGTATGCGGCCCTCAGTGCATATGCAACGCCCCTCACTGCGAGGCGCGGGCGGCAGCGCGCTCGAATCGGCTGTGCGGCAACACAGCGCAACCTTCATCGCAGTATGATGTGTGCAGGTGTGCCCGAATGCACCGCGTTCAGCAGACAGCGCCACAGCCATGGTAGGTGAGCTTTCATCAATTAAATTGTCTCACGTGCGCAGGCGCCAGATATGAGTCCATACACCCGGTAGTGCGACGAAAAGAAGTTTGCCAGGGCCCCCACGGCGAGCGCGAGGAAGAGGGCGGCCACAGCGGCAGACGGAGCTTGTTCATACATTTGTGATCCCCTTAGATGGTCTCGAAAGCCCGAGGCCCTCAAAATAAGAAAGTTGTTGTGAGCTAGTCAAACGAACAACGCAGTACCGGTTGTCAATGATACATTAGTGTGTGCACAAGCACATGCAAATCACTTGACTTGTGAACCAGCCATGACAACAAGCAGGCTGCCGCGCAACCCAGGAAGTGGCAGTGACGAGTGTGCAGATGTGCTATGCTGCTGCTCCCAGCAGTGCCGTGCTCTCAGCAGGCCCGTTGCCATACGTTACTGCACAGCTGTGTGGCTGCAGATTGAAGCAGCATACAGAATGTGTGTGACCTACACTGCGATGAGCGGCATGCATGTGACGTGTGCGAATATCATAAAGCCGACAGCTGAAACTGTCGCGTGGTGCGCCGCATTATCTCACTGCACCCGTCACCTGCCCTGCCCTGCTCATCTCACCCTGTCGAATATTCTCTCGTGTGCACCCCCCAGCAACAGTGCTTGCTTGCACACCAAACATCTTGTGCGCAACTTTACACACATGAGAATGGACATATAAGAAGGAAAGGGGGGGCTGAGTACAGCCTGTAAATGTGGGAGAGCGCCACAGAGGGGCCGCTCGGCACAAAACATTGGAAGGAAAGTTGGGCAATTGTGACACACAATTGGTCCCAGGAAATGCTGTCGCTCAAAGGACAACACTGGGCAGCGCTGTATGCGCCAACATCGATAGGGAAAGCTGGCAGCAACAGGCTCGCCACAAAACAGTGCCTAGGTGTGAACACCTACGCGCTCTGTACACAACCGCGGTGTGCGGCGCGCGTACCAGAAACCGCGCGGCACCCAGCACTTGGGCTGTCGCAGCAAAACAGGCAGCGGAATTGCGCCACCTGTTGGTGAGCGGGTGGTTCTTTCGATGGACACCGGCAGGGCAGCGCAACGTGCAGCAAGGAGAAGCCATTTGCAAGCCCGTTGCAGCACGCCCGCAGGGTTTTTTGATTTGATCTTTCCAAGCTCCTACAAAAGTCAGCAATCGTGTTGTTGTTTCTCGTAAATGTGTTGCGAAACGCTCGAGTGTGATATGATCATTGTACATGCAGGAAACAATCTACGGGACACAACTCCCCGGCTTCATTTGTAACAAACAGCCCCACAACCAGGCGCAGCTTCAAACATGTGGGCTGGCTAGGGCGTAAGGAGCCCCTTACCACCCCGCAGCGGCCAAAGCAAAGCCGTCCATGCACCAACTACCACGCCCCGCACAAGCGGCAGGTGCCGACACCGCGGTGCTTGCTCCATCGCCGCCACCGGGCAGCGTCTCGACTCCGTCGATGTCCAAAGGGGCCCGCGCCGCGTCGACGCGCATACTGCAATCCTCACCATCCGCCGCAGCTGCTCGCGCCGTCCCCAGGCACCGACAGCGTGCAGCCGTCTGCGTCGGAGCCGAGCAGGCCGGCCGCGCTCCACCCCGCCGCCGCGGCCTCGGCGGCGGCACCGATCACGCGCAGCACGTCAAGCCGGTAGAACACCGTCGCGCGACCGAGGGCGCCCGAGGTGTCCTCCGTGCTGAAGGCCGACGCGACCGCGATGGACACCGAGAACTTCTTGGCAAGCCGCGCACGCGCCTTGGCCAGCGCCTGCATCGCGGCGTGGCACGCGGCCGGGCCGGCGAGCTGCAGCGAAACGCGGCCCCACTCCAGCACGTTGCGGATGACGGCGTTGGAGAGCTTGTTCACGTCTGTGCCCGCGCCGGCCTTGAGAAGCGGCGGCTCCTGCTGCTGCTGCTGCTGCTGGTGCTGGTCACCCTCCGCGGACGGCTGCTGCTGCTGGTCGCCGCGCGCCGCAGCGAGAGCAGAGGGCTGGCCGACGGGCGGAGGCAGGTCCATGGGCAGGTTGTCGGCCTTGACCTTGAAAACCACAAAGCCGAGGGAGTCGGCATCCTGAGGGCGGCCAGAGCGCTGGAAAGGCACGAACGTAACCTCCTCCTTGCCGAGTGTGGAAGCTGCGCCGTCGTCCGAGGCGACGGCGGCGGCCGCGCCGCCGGAGCGCCCCTCAGCAGCTGCGACCAGAGCGCGCGCCGCGGCGCCGCCGGCCGCGCCCGCGGCGCCCATGCGAGCGTTGACGTAAAAGCGGCTCACGGCGAGCGTCTTTGCGGCCACGTGCGTCGCGCCGCAGGGGCCACCCTCGCCGGCGCGCTTGAGTGCTACGAGCAGGCAGCTGCCCTGGCGCTCCAGCACCTTAGCCACCGCACCCGCCGCGTCCTTCACGCTCGACGCGGCGGAGACGGTGACAGTGTCGCCGCGGCTGCGGCCGCCGGCGCGGCCACCGAACGCGCTGCCCGCCACGCTGCTGCGGGAGCCCAGCGGCGTGCTAGGCACGGGGGTGGGCGGGTAGGTGTGCGCGAACGACGCCTCGCTGGCGCTGCCGCTGGCTGCGTCATCAGAGGGCCACTGCTGCTGCTGCTGGGGGTGGGGGTAAAACTCGTAGTGGGGGTGCGGCACAGCGTAGGGCGCGTACCCCGGCGCTGGCTGGATGTGGGGCGGCAGGACGCCCACAGGGTAGCCGTACGGAAGGTGGGGGTGCGCGTAGTAGTGGGGAGGCGCGTAGAACACCGCCTGCTGCTGAGGGCCAGAGGGCGCACGCGGCAGGGGGCCGCCGGGGTAGTAGCCCTGGCCGTGCTGCTGCTGAGCTGCTGCTGCGGCGGCGGCGGCGGCCGCCTGCTGCTGCATTGGGTCCCAGTACTGGTACTGGTGCTGCTGCTGCTGCTGCTGCGCCTGCTGCTCTTGCTGCTGAGGGTAATACTGCTGCTGCTGGTGCACCTGGTTCTGTGCCTGCTGCAAAGCATGCGACTGCTGCTGCTGCTGCTGCTGCTCCTGCTGCTGCTGCTGCTGCTGCTGCTGCTCCTGCTGCTGCGCCTGCTGCTGTGCTTGCTGCTGCGCCTGCTGCTGCTGCACGACCAGAGTCGCGGCGGCGACCCCCGCCGCAACACCCGCCATGTACATACTGCTGCTTGGGGCGGGTGGGCCCCCGCGCTGCGCAGCAGTCGACGCCTGATTGGCGGCAGCCGCGACGGCAGCCGCAGCAACGACATGCGCGCGCGCAACCGTCTGCTGCGGCGGCGCGGCGGGTGTGCCGCGCTCCTCCACCTCGAGTGCCTCCTCATGGCTGGCGTCCTGCTCGACGTTGGCGGCATCCTGAGCCGGCGCGGCCAGCAGGGGGATGTCGCCAATGTGCAGGACGCCGCCGCCGCTGGTGACTGCGCTGGGCGATGTGGGCGTCGACAGCGCACCATCCTCCGACAACGCTGGGTGGGCACGTGGGCCCGTCCACACAGCGAGGACGGCCTCAGGGCCGCTAATCACGGCGCTGACGGGCACAGAGACCGGGATGCTGGGCGCGGTCGCACTCGAAGCTCCGTCGCAGGACACCAGCGGCCTGCGTGGATGTAGCAGCGGGCGCGATGTGTGGCTTTGATTCGCAGAAACGCTTCGAAGTATCCTGGTAAGGCTGCGAGGACTCCAGGCGAAGCTGGCCGCCCTCCCTACATTGCTGTCAGTCTGCGGGTGCAGCTCACCGCGCCTCAAGCACGGCCGCAGCATTGCAGCGGATGTCCTTCTTGCGCTTGGGATGCACCCCCGTGGTGTGCTTGCCCTGGCTGCTGGCGACATTGTGGGGCTTCAGATGAGTGACCTGACCGATTCGTGGGAGAGCCATAGCGACGAAGATAGGCCCCGTTGAGGGGCCAGAATGATGTGCGATAAGGTGATTGAACTGGCGTATCGGCTGGCGCCTAGATATCGCTGCGCTGTGGCGGGCGCACCAGGGGACACCTTGGGAGTGGTCATCCAGACGCTGCTGACAGGTTGACGTGGCGCGCGAGCGAGTGGCCACAGAGCGCGCTGCAGACCGCCGCGTCACCCCTGTGCTGCTTTCCCACATCCCCGGACATACAACGGGCCCGCATGAGCAGCCAGACGACGCGCCCAGCATGTGCATTGCACCACGCCCAACAGCAATCATGCTGGCGTGCGAGTGAGGGCAGGAGTGACCCGCGTTCCGGGTGCCAAGTGCGGTACTGAGCGGGAGTGACCAGCGTTCTGGACTTGCTGTGCAGCGGTGCTAGGGCGTTACTGTTGCGTGGCAAAATCGTAGCCCGGTCCTCTGGCGTTCGGCAAGCTTGAGGGCAGCAGGGGAACACACCACCCCGTAGAGTAGAG